AACTGATTTTGAGGGCCAAGATTTTGGCAGTCCAGCAGTTCTTTTTTAGGTTTTACTCCAAGCTTCACCTCGTGGGTGAATTTCAGTAAGAGTTTGATTTGGACAATGGGCAGTTGGCTTGATTCAGAAGGTAACAAAAGCAAGTAATGGGTGGAACAGCAAAGTCTGGCCATTGGGCGCTCCATCCCCCTTGCTTGCTGGGGGTGGTTCTGGAGGGGTAAGAGGGTGTGTGTGTGTGTGTGCTGCGAATTGATCTACAGGGAGGGAGATTGCCCAGTTTCTGCCTCTGTTTGAAGCTCCCTTGGCAGAGGGAAGGGAGGAGTGGAGCCGGGAGCAGCGAAACTGTGGCTCAGGGCCGGCTCAGGCTCCTTTCAGCCACTGTGGGGAAGTCAGAGCAGCAACAGCAAATGGCTACCATCATCTGGGTCCATGTTGGAGAGATTAAAGCCCCTCTTGCCTCACCTCATCTGCCTTAAGTAGCTGAGAGTTTTACTTGTTCTAGTCCAGGATTTGGAGGTAATTTCTGCCTTCTTCCCCATGCAGACACCATTGCAACTCCACTTGCAGCTGGTCTTCCTCATTTTTCAGTAGCCGTCTCTGCCTGGAGATCGGAAGGGGGCGTCCTTGAAATCCTGAGCACGCGGGACAGAATTTGTAAGGCCTCCGATATGAGGAATGAGTGCAGAACGTATGGGACTGTGTGTGAAGAGCCTTGTGCTTAGCTCAAATAACGCCTTGTTTAAACTCCAAAGAATGGAAACATGTCAGTGATGCAAAGCTTAAAGCTCAAAGGCTCCTAAGTAGATTGTCCTATTAGAAAAGCTTGCTCATAGTTCAGTCTATGGCTCCTCAGTAATTCTGCAGTTTGTGTTTAAGTACTTATTTCCATTTAGTTCTTTGGGTCTGGTCCAGAGGTCCACTTTGCTTCACAAAGTGTGGGATTACAAATCCTGACGCCAGCATCTCTACGAGAGCGGTCGCTGTACAGGTCCTGCTTCAGCTACACCATCTTGAAAACAAATAGCTATTTTGTTTTATCACAAATAGGTTGCGTGTTGCTTTGATGCCCTTACCAAACTGAGTTTAAAGCACTGTGTGGCCTTACTTGCAGGGAGAAGGACCATTCTTGGTTCATTGGTTCAGTAGCTATTCTGGAAGTCTGGAGTCATCTGACCTGGAAAGCAAAGTACCCTGGATTACACACACACACACACACACACACACACACACACACACACACCCCACCGCCTCTCGAGGAAGATTCCCTGCACTTCCCACAGACTGGAATGCTGGGCTGGAAGTCCGCTTCTTCCTTCCCACCTTGGCTGGGGGGTGGGGGTGGGGCAGAGAAAGAGACCTGCCTGGTGAGGAGGTGTCTTCTGGCTACAGTTAGGCCATGAGTGTCCAAGCCTGGTGATGAGCTCCTGATTTGGCCCAGACTCGGCCAGCAGGAATGGGTGCTGTTGCTGCTGCTGCTCCTGGGTTCCGGGCCCCAAATGTACCCAAGGCAGAGGAGATGCTATCAGCTCTCCGCCCACTTCTTTGCCCTGGAGAAGGTTCAAAGCCGGCCGCCACTGCGGCCAAAGCCTTCAAAGCCAGGTAGGCCGAATGATACAGAGAGCGTTCCCTGATGCAATCACAGCAGCTTGTGAGACTGGTTTCTGGGTTTGGAAAGGGAGAGACAAAGACATCCTTGTTTGCTTTGAAGGGGGCAGGGGGGAGGGAGTACCTACCAGGCCCACGGAAGAAGCCTTTTCCTTCTGTGACCCTGGCTGTAACCCTGACTGGACCTGAAAGAGAACAATCTGGGCAGCATTCTGCCCTGAGTTTGCTTCTGGCTCACTTATGTCGGGGGAATCGCAGTCCTGGTTTCTAAGGTGAAGCAAGTTTGCCCCTAGAAATAAAGGTTTAAATGTCTTGATTTGGACCCTCAGCTCAAATTTGTGTCTCTTGCATCTTCTTGCTGTTGTGTTGGATGCTAGAATTGGGTGCTCTAGCTCCTTCCCCCCCCTCCCCCCGCATAACAGGACTCTTCCACCTGGCAAACTGCAGAATGGGGGGTGTCTGTTTGTGGAGAAGGGACATTGGCCAGGTCACAGCAAGTGTGCATGCTCTGGAATGCTACCAGGAGGGTTGTCCCGCCCTCCTGGTGGCATATAATTCAGTTTAATAATGGTTTGAACATATTTTGGCAGAATGTACAGAAAAATAATAACAAACATCTACCAGGCCATATCTCCAAGTGTTTGTTTCCTGTGCTAAAATTAAATTCTAGAATCTGTTTTAAAAAAACAAAACAGGTATTCAAGAACAAACTTTGTTGCAACCTGAGAAGCCCAGGTAACCTTTCCTTCCTTCCTGGACCCTGACTCTATCTTCTGTGCCATCAGTGGACTTTGGGGAACAAGGCTGTGGGGGCGTGGACAATGGTTGGGGGTGCCTATTCAGGGCGCTTTCCGGTCTTTTGCAGTCTGATCTGCAAAGACTTGCTTATCAAACAAGAAAGCAATTCCCCCCCACATCTTACATCTGGCATATTTGCCTGGAGGTATCACTGCCCAAAGGACAAGGTACTCTGGACCTAGATTTTGGCTGATGTCTAAGTTGCGTGTCCTTTCTGAAGGTACTTTAAGCTTTTAGGAATCTTGTGATCTTCAATTAAACCCTTTGATCTGTATATTTCAGGATGGCCTGTGGATTAATTGTACAGCGAGCCCTTTTCAGGGCAAATAACTCCTCTTTCTAACCGAATGTTTTTTTCTGACGGTTTAGACGTAGAGCAATATTCTCCATGACTGTTTCCTGATGGGCAGACAAAACTACTGTGATTGTACAGGGTGATATGGTGGGAATTAGAAGCATCTTGTCTAATGTTTTTGTTGGGAGAGGCGTAGGAAGGGGGTTAGCGGTAGGGCTGGTGAGATTGGGGAGGGGTGTGTGAGGGTACATGATAAATCTGTAAAGCAAGGGAAGGAAGGAATTGTCTGTCTGTCTCAGATCCAAAGCTCGAATCGAAAGTGACCGGTGGCCTTGGCTGGTTTGACTCTCCTTGTTTAATGCTGAGGACAGAGATGAGAACGGCTTTCAAGCCATTTCAGTTCTGCATTTCCCCCCTTTCCTTCAAATTATCCCTTAGGCAGAATTTATTGGAATTGGCTCAAAACCTATCTCCTAACTTAGCTTCAGTGGCTGACTGAAAAATAGATATGGAAAATATATTCATTTGAGCTGTTGAGTATTGATAGCTTTTGGAACTCAAATGTAGTTATTTCACGATTTCAATTTCAGAAGGGTTAGAGATCACTGTCCAGAGCAGGGTGTCATATGGGGACCCCCGGAGGTCCCTGAGGCTCTTTCAAGGGGTCTGCAAAGTCAAATAAATACATATTTTAAAATGTTTCAGTTTAATTTCTAAAACAATAAATGTTGATAGTTCTAGCTCACATAAACCAAAGCTCTTAGGGGTCCCCAGTCTACAAAATGATTGAGAATTGCTGGTCTAGAGATTAAAATCTTTGATTATCTCACTCTTTATGCAAAGCCACCTGCCAGTTAAATGGGCTGAAAGAATCATTGCAATTTAGGATTGGCGGCTGCATGTATAACCTGAATGCCAGATGGGAAAGAATAAATTTAGCAATCAAGGCCTTTGGTCTACTTCAGCTGGGTTGCTCTGATGACATCAAACTACTGTTTGAATGTGAAAAATTGCTTGGGGTACTCAAGAACCATCTCAAAAATTAGCTTTTTGCCAAGGAATGCGAATGAGAAGGGAAGTGCAACTAGAGAACAAAAGTTGTCTTCTAGCGATGCAGAGGAAACAGTCTGGAAGGGATGATAATCTGATACAAAGGGTCAAGGGAAAGGTAATTTGAATGTTTGTTGGCTACACACAAACACACCCCTGAAGAAACCAACCTGGTGGAGAAACCTCTCTGATTCAGTATATCCGTCTGGACGGACAGCCTGCTGTTAGCCACTGTAATCAAGGCTACTTTAGATAGCAAAGCAAAATTACAAGAAGGAAGGAAAAGAATTAGAGCTGTCCTTTCTGGAAATTAAGAAACAAAGGTGATCGATCTCAGTTATTGCTTTGCTTGCAAATATGGCAACAAGGATGTATAAGCAGAAACCGTCTAGAATTACATGTTCATTTATGTAAAAAGTAGATTGAGAATTAATTGGATTCAAAACAGCACAAGCTTGGAATCCCTGGCAGCAGCAGGTCTTACCAACTTGGAAATTCTTGTGGCAAGTGCCCAAATAGACAAGCCATCATTTTTGTATTCTATGTGTTTTATCTTGTGCCTGTTCACCGCCCTGAGTCCTTCGGGAGTAGGGCGGTATATAAATCAAATAAAATGAAAAAAAAAAATGAAAAAATCAGAGGAGAAGACAGGTTGCCTCTCACCCCAACCTCCAAGCACAGCTCTTCTTCTGCCTGCAACTTTGTCCCAAGGCACATAGTTTGGGATGCACCTTCTCCGAATGCCCAAAGTCAGTATCGTTCAAGAAATATAAAAAATCTAGGTTTTGCCTGTGCCTAGATTTCGTGAGGGGGAACTTACCATAGACTCCTAGGGCTGGAAGGGACCTTGGAGTCCTTCTAGCCCAACCCTCTGCCCAAGGCAGCAGGGGACCTTATTGCATCCCAAACAAATCTTTTCTTGAAAACCTCCAGCGATGGGGCATCCACAGCTCTGTGAGGCAAGCAGTTCCACTGATTAATCGTTCTGTTATATTTTCCTTTTACTTTGTGCGGGGGCTTCAAAATAGAGTCTTTGCAACAAACTCCTGAGTGGAAGCATGGATAATTCCCACTTGCTCCCTATTGGGGCCATTGGGGCCCTTCTGATGAAGAGTTCCACAAGGAAACAGACATCTTGCACAAGTTTTTCAGTCTTCATATGGGGCAGGAAAGCAGTGAGGTCACGAAGGAAAAGAGCCGCCAGTGGGATTTTGAGGTACATTTTCACAGAAGCTCTCTCCTCCTTTCTTAGATGCATCCATTGGGACTCTGCAACAACAATGATGAAGAAGACTTATATGAATACGGCTGGGTTGGAGTTGTGAAGTTGGAGCAGCCTGACCTGGAACCCAAACCCTGCCTCACTGTTCTGGGCAAGGTAAGGAGGGCAGAGAACTTTCCCTGCAGCAGGGTCCTGGCTGGGGGGAAAAAACCTGGTGTGATGGTTTGCAACTTGCTCCAGAACAGCTTTCTACTCTTTGACCCCGCAGCTTTTCTAGGGACTCAGTTCTGCACCAGTCACAACACGCCAAGTTTCAGCCTTGTAAAACCCATGCAAATTTGCCAGTGTTTAGGTGTCCTAGAATGTGTAATAGGATTCATAGGAAAATGGTAGAATATTTATTTCCCAAAAGTCAGCGAGCTAGTCTTGTTGCAGTAACGAGCAACCATTGTAGTTTATTTAACAAAGATGTGCAACATGACACAAAAATAACCTCCTGCTTAACAGAGGAATGCAAGTAGTTAGTTCAGTAGATTTTTGGGAAAGTATCTTGTTTGGTGGGAGGTTAGCCATTGACTAACATGTATTCTTGCCATAGTGGTGGAAAGATGCAGCTAGGCAAATTAGGCATACATTATGCGGCTTTACTAAGGGAGGCTTTTGAGACATTTCAGCAAACAAGAGAGAACGAATGTCTTCTTTCTGATGGTGCCGCATTAAATTGCCTGAGGATGACCCAAACTGCATGTCATTGACAAGAAATTGATGGGTGGGTGGGTGCAATCAAGGCAAGACGGTATACATTCAATATTTCTGCAATTTCATCCACTCCTTACCGAACCTTTTTAATTATTGCAAATTAGCAGCTGAGGAGAAGAGAGTCCCCAGTCCTCTCCAAAGTCTAGTTAATTGTTTAAATACAAATCTGCTTATGCGGTTGGGGGCAGAGTAACATTTCTGTTTGAATTGGTGTTTCAGAGGGGAGGCCAGGGTCGGAGCCTTCCTTTCCTGTAGGGCTTCCTCAGATATTGGTAAACTTGTTCCTTTGAACAACGTGTGCACATGATGATGAGCACGGCTCCCGTTGTCTTAATGCTGCCACTGGATCAGGAGCCAGGCAGGTTAATTCAAAAACATCTGGAAAGCAGCCCAGTCAGTGGTTTGACAGGGGTGTGCCAACCAAGGAAGAGAGAGGAGAATTTGGGGGCGGCGGCGGCGGGAAAGAGAAGCTATGCATGTCGTCCTTCAGCTGGGGCTGCAGATAGAGTGGTCCCAGAGATAGCAGGGCTGGGTAAAATCCAGTAGGTTCTGACAGGTTCTGGATAACCGGTAGCGGAAATTTTGGGCATTTCGGAGAACCAGTAGCAGAAATTTTGAGCAGTTTGGAGAACCGGCAAATACTATCTCTGGCTGGCCCAAGAATGGGGTGGGAATGGGGATTTTGCAGTATCCTTCCCCCAGGAATGGGGAGGGAATGGGGATTTTGCAGTATCCTTCCCTCGCCACGCCCATCAAGCAACATGCCCACCAAGCCACGCCCACAGAACCGGTAGTAAAAAAATATGGATTTCACCACTGGTCTGATTCGAGGCAGGGTTGATGATAGCATGACTCCTGACCAAAGGGGGGTGGGGTTTGTTTGGCCGAAAGGAAATCGGGAGATGCCAGTCCGGTTGCCTATGAATGGCAGAGCATTTGCCAGGTGGGTCTTTGATGGAGGAGGCGTTATCAGTCGGGAAGGGATGCGCTGCCCTCTTTGTATGCGGAGGTCTATTTTTCATAGTGGCCTCCTGAGCCCCCCCAGGAGGAGGTGAGCTTTAAGGCTGCAGGGTCTGTAAACAGGGCTGTAAGAAAACGAGTGGTGTTTCCTTCCTAGTGTTGAACACTGGACCAACACATCCCCAAACAAGGGCCTGGTCCTCTGAGGTAGCCTTTGTCCGAGCTGCTGCTCGGTCTGCAGGCTGGACCTTGTTGGCTCCGAGGAAGGGGCTGCCCTGCTGGGAGTCGTTCTCGAGCAATGGCTGGAATCTAAGTTGTCCTGCTGCGGAATGGCTCTTTGGCAAAGGAAGACCCCTAATTAGAGGCAAAGGCTTTCTGTTTTTGTTCTCCTTTAATCCTTACCCCGAGGCCCCTGTGTTGCGGCCCTGCCTGTGCTTGTGCGGAAAGAAGGCTCCAGTTGTGCTTTGTAATAAGACCTCTTCACAGTGAATCAACATGCTAATGTCAGATCTGGGTTGCCTCGACCTGTCCTGGGAGCTTCAAGAACGCCGGCTGCTGTAAAAGCCGGATCGATGCCCTTGCTCTACTCTGTGGCTGTTTCCTTAAGAAACCTCCTCTTTTGCATCTAGCTGAGGAATGGGCCAGAGGCCTCATGCTTTGCTGACCAGGAAAGAGGGGACCCAGCAGGGAAAGGAGCACGTGGCGCCCTTTGGCTAGCCACCCCAGCAAAGACTCTCCCACAACCCACTCCATTCCCGAAACAGAAGCTGTTCCACCTCACATAGTTTCGATGGATCAGGAGCGAAAGAAAATACATTTAGTCAGACAGAGTCATTAACAGAATTCCCTTGGGAGCAGCCCAGGTGTGTTTGGCTTGGAAAAAAGGAAATAGTTATTTCCCCCCATAGACACAGCACTGAGTGACGAGCGCTCAAGCACGGGAACTGCTGCATGGGAATCGCCTTTGGTATCTGCCACCGGGAGGGGGGCGGTCCCGTCCCCCCCCCCAGCATCCCTCCTGGTGTTCCACTTACAGCTCTGCTTCTATAATTTAAGCCACCACCGCACACCTGCTCTTGAGCACCCCAGTCTTACTTGTGGGGTTCCCCTTTTCTCTTGATTTAAAGCTCCCCGCCCCAAGATTCTCTTAATCTAGCCAAGGAACTGGGGGAGGGGAGGTTCAGGGAGTGGGGTCCAAATGCCTCAGAGTACCAGCAAGGTTTGCTTCAAGGAAGACTCTTCGGAGGACATCTTGGGCTGTGGAAGACCTCGGTACAGAGGCAGAGAAGGAGGGTTTAGAGGATTAAGAAGAGATTGGACAGCCATTTTTCCGGAATGGCCTAGGACCTCCAAGTTCCCTTCTAACTCTGTGGTTCTGCTATTCTGCTTTATGGCTTGAATTTTCTTGTTTGGGGAGGGGGAGCTTCTTTCCCTCTGGGGGGGGGAACGAGGGGAAGGAGGTGCGGGGAAGCTGCCTCCTGCTCTGGTATGTTTGTGGCTTGGCCGCTTTGATCTCCTGCCAGGGAAACCTGGAAGGTCAGGCCAAGCTGCAGCTAAGCTCCGGAGACCGGAGAGCCGGGGAATGCTGGAGCGGAGCCCCACCCACCAGACTGTTGCCTGTGTGTCACTTCCTGAACCAGGCAGTAAGAAAGTCCATGCGCTGCCCCCTTAGAGGGCAGGATCAGAGAAAGCCAAGAAGCAGTCGGAATTGGACAGGGCTCGCCAAGGACTTTCTGGAACTTTCCCCCTCCCACCATCTGCAACTACAACACCCAGTGGCTCAGCACCCTTTGAAGCAGGCAGAGTGTCGAAAAGCTGGGCCTCTTCAGCAACAGACAAAATGCTGGGTGGCCTTCAGAGGGGCCTCGGGTGGCAGCTAGGGTCTGCAGCATTGAATGAGACTCACTGCAGATCAGAGCTGGAGGTGGGGAGGCTAGAATCTGGCTCAGGATCCAAGTGGGATGGGAGGCCTTTTAGTCTCCAAGCGATGTGCTGGCCGTCTTTGTCCGCAGTGTATGGCCCTGCTCGTGAACTCTCCTGGTCAGGGTAAGACGGCTCTTCTTTTCCTGGGGGGGCTCTTGGTCGCCACCCCCACTTCCCAAATTACCAGAAGAGGAAAAAAGCAAGGAAGTCTCCCTTGGCTCAAGGTTGCATTCTAGTGACCATATGTGGCAACAGGCAAAGAATGTTTGCAGGGAGTGTGTGCTGGTGGGGAAGGAGCTGTGAAGAGTCTATGCTTTTGGGGGCATTTCATTACTTCTGATGCGCCCCCCTTCTCACTGAATCCTTTTCTTCCCCCCTCCTAGCCTTTATGTTGTGAGGGGGGAGGGGGGGAAGGAAGGAAGGAGAGAGGAAACAGACAGGGAGCTGATCTTAGGCCCCATCTCCCTCTTCTTTATAGGCCAAGCGAGCAGTTCAAAGAGGAGCCACAGCTGTCATTTTTGATGTGTCCGAAAACCCAGATGCCATTGATCAGGTATGCATCATGCCTCACTCTCTGTATGAGCATGGGTCAGTATAAATTGTTCTTTCAGTATATCTAGCAGCGGATACAGGAAAATCAACACCTTAACCATCAGAAGCAGTAATGAAAAATACTCGGTAAAGATTTTTTTTTTTTAATTTATATGCCGCCCTTCTCTGGAGACGCAGGGCAGCTTACAAGGCGTTAAGCAATAGCCTTCATACTTTTGTATATTTTATACAAAGTCAGCTTATTGCCCCCACAAACCAGGTCCTCATTTTACCTACCTTAGAAAGGATGGAAGGCTGAGTCAACCTTGAGCCTGGTGAGAATTGAACTCGCAATAATTGCAGGCAGCTGGAAGCTAAATACTACCTTTTACAGTAGCATTAGTCTGCTGCGCCACTCAGGCTCCTTTTGTTGTGTCCACTTGAGTAAAAAACCCTAAATAACAAGAGCTTGCTTTGGCCTGTACAGTAGAATTGGGGCTCCATAAAATGGTTGCTGACCCAGTGGAAACCTGTTGTCTGTCCCCCTGTCCCCCCACCCAAATCCTCATGAACTTTGGAAGGAGGGAGAGCAGCTGCCAGCCAGCCATGTCTGCAGGGTTGCATGGCCAGGCACCTCTGTTCAGACACCTGTGCCTGAGATTTCCTGCTGCTGGGCCATAAGGAGTGGTTTGAATTGGTCCACTGGTCCACTTGGATCACCCCTGATGGCACTGACCTCTCAGGAGTCCAGTTTTGTTTTTCATACCAATTGCAGCTCTTGGCTTATCTCCAAAGGCAGTCCCAGGCAGTCCCAAAGGCTCTGCAGATTGGGTGGGGGTGGGGAGTGAGGGTAGAGACTGGGTCTCCTTTGAGTTCCTGCCCAGCAGAAAGACGGGGGGGACGGGGACGACAAAGGCATTCATGGTGTCTCCTTTCTTGCAGCTAAACCAGGGCTTGGAGGACCCACTGAAAAGACCAGTTGTTTATGTGAAAGGGGCAGATGCAGTCAAGCTGATGAACATTGTTAACAAACAGAAAGTGGCGCGGGCCAGAATCCAGCACCGTCCACCACCTGTAAGTCCTCAGGGCAGGGCAGGGCCGGTTAAGTGACCAGACTACCTTTAAGTTTCCACATCCAGGTTGTGGTCATAGCCTCCTCTATTTGTTGGGGGGAGGGGTTCCGATAGGTCATTTGATGGCCTCCAGCTGTCAGTTCTAGCTCCTCTGATAGGCTCTGAGTCCCCCTGGACTTTCTGGCCTCCGGCCTAGTGGAACGTTTCTTCAAAGAGTATTTTCTCCCCGAGTGCCATTAAGGCACTAGTCAGATCATGGTGCTTTTAAGAAAATCCAAAGAGAATCCAGACAGTGATCAACAATCGCTCACCGTGGCAAAGGGAAGAGTTAGAACGTCTCTTGATTCCCAAAGGAGGCTGTGATCGCTCTAAAGCCAGCAGAAGTGGTCAAGGGAGGTTTGATTTTTACCAGATTTTGAGGGTCAATGGACCTACGGGGTCGGGTGGGTGAACAGAGGACTTACCAAATCTTACGATGGTGGCTATTCAAAAAGGTGGTCAACCAAACCGCCTGCTCTGTCTTTGATGGAGAAAAGAGCAGCTAAAATGGAGGAGGACTAACTACAAACGGAGATGTGTTTTCAAACCTCCGCCCAGAGGAGGAACTCAGCCAGTTAGTAGTAAGATTTTGGAATGCCTCATTCCCTTTCAGAAGGCACATCTCTTTGGCCTGGCGTTGGATGGGTTGTCCGGCACCATCTCTAAGGTCGTTTCTGCTCTGGTCTAGGGCTGCAGCAGTCCTATAGGTTGAGCTTCTGCCCAGGACTCATTTACCCATAGCGTTTTTGTACTTGTTGTTTGTGAGAAGCGTTGACATCTGGGGAAGCCAGCTTTGCTGTGAGAGGTGATTAGCTGAGCAATCTCTGGGCACGAGATAGTTCTAGCTCTAGTTGCAGGTAACCAATTCAGAAATCTGAGGCAGGAAATCTAATCCGCCTTTTTTATCTGCTGCTTCCTCCACCCTCGGTTCTAAAGCAACCCACCGAATACTTCGACATGGGGATTTTCCTTGCCTTTTTTGTGGTGGTCTCTCTGGTTTGCCTGGTTCTTCTCATCAAGATCAAACTGAAGCAGCGTCGCAGCCAGGTAAGAGCCAGACAGACCTCTTCAACCTGGTCTTTTTCTTTTCTTTTTCCTCCGCCTCTCCTTCTCCCTTCGGTGCCACCTGAAATCTCAGCTGGAGGTTTCGCGGCAGCGTTACATGCTCTCCTAAGCAGCAGTCCTACAGGATGGCCTTGAATATTTGGGGCTGGACCATTAGCTCCAGGCAACCTGGAAAACGTAATGAGTTATGGAAGTTGTAGCCTGAAACGTCTGCAGGGCACCAACTAGGAAAAGCTGTCGCTTCACTAGCCGATTCCAGCCAGGAATAGCCTCCTTTCTCTTCCTTGCTGGAATGCGACCGAGAATTGGCCACCTGAGTCAGGCTGGCCTGGCTGCCCTCTGATCCTGAGGCTAAGAATCACTGCCGCTGGCCATCGGCAGCCTCACCAGGGTGTCTCCTGTTGCAGAGCTCCATGAATAGGCTGGCTGTGCAGGCGCTGGAAAAGATGGAGACTCGGAAGTTCACGTCCAAGCTGAAGACGCCCTGCGAAGGCAGCTGCGGTGCCCTGGACACTCTCAGCAGTGGGTCCACCTCGGACTGCGCCATTTGCCTGGAGAAGTACATGGATGGGGAGGTGAGGCACTAGAGGAGGCCAATCAGTACAAATGGTTTTAGCTTTTTCTGAATTTCTGAATGGCTTGGGCAAGATCAGTTAGGTAAGGTGGCTTGTGCCCCGGCTCCATCGGGTGAGACTCTCTCCCGTGAGGGATCGCCACAAGCAGAGCTGCCTGGGTATGAGGAGAGGCCTCGCCCATTCCCCCATCTCTTTGGGCACCTTCCTCTCACCCGGGCAAGCGAAGCAGTGTAGTTTTGGCCAGCACTTCCCTGGCAAGCTCACAGCAAGCTGCGTGAGGAAACCAGGCAGGAGCCTTTCAGCTGTGATGTTACTTCTGCAGGAGCTGCGCGTGATTCCCTGCACCCACCGGTTCCACAGGAAGTGCGTGGATCCTTGGCTTCTGCAGCATCACACCTGCCCCCACTGCCGTCACAACATCATTGGTGAGTTGCTGGAGCTTCCCTCGGTCATGTCCTTGAAGGAAAGGGCAATGTTCAGAACTGCCAAAGGCTCATCCCCCTGCCAGGGGGTAGATTCTTCTGGCTGGCAGGCAGTATTTGCCTCGGGGGAACTGCAGTTGACTCTCTCCAAGTTCAGTTGAACCCCCTCCTCCTCCTCTTTTACATGCAGAGCAAAAGAAGGGAAACTCCAGCCTGGTGTGTGAGGAGATGGCCAACCAGTTACACAGCCGGCAGCAGCAGCAGCAGCAGCAGCGTGTGATCCTGCCTGTCCACTTCCCTGGCCGAGCACACAGAGGGGGTCACGTCACTGCCTACCCCACGCACACCAGCATGGACCCCCACGGAAATCCCATCACTGTCTTGACGGTCGATCGGCATGGAGAGACTCCAGCCTTCTTCCGGAGCTACCCGCCCATTCTACACCTGGAGCCCCACCCTGGCACAGTCGAGCGCAAGTCCTGCCCAATGCCTCACCCTTTCCAGAGGCCGAAGTTCAGCGGGGACCCTTTCTCCAAGCCAGATTGCTTCTCCCAGTACGAGACTATGTTTCAGCATTACTATTTCCAAGGCCTTAGCTACCCTGAGCCACCACAGAGCGGTCAGTTCCCTCTCCATGTGGCTGCCAAGGGCCCCTCCCGTGCCTTCCAGCCTTTCGGCAGCCACAGGCTCTTCCCCCCTGCGGTCCACATCGCCCCTTCCGCCCAGCCAGAGAGCGGCAGCGCTTCCGGCTTTGGCTGCTACCATGGCCACCGTTCAGTCTGCAGCGGCTACCTGGCCGATGGCCCCGGTAGTGACAGCAGCAGCAGTGGCCGCTCAGCCCGGTGCCACTGCTCCTCCAGTGACTCCATGGTGGACTGCACAGAGGTCAGCAACCAGGGGATTTACGGGAGCTGCTCCACCTTCCGCAGCTCACTGAGCAGTGACTACGACCCCTACATCTATCGCAGCAAAAGCCCCTGCCGGGGCGGGGAAAAAAGCAGGGTCCTCCGTGGGGAGGTGATGCTTCTGGAAGGTTCTTCTGCGCTGCACCCGGTGGCAGACAAGAGCCAGTCTGAGCCAGCTGCCGCAGCAGGGGACCAACTGTCTGACTGCAGCCTTGAAATGAATTGCAGCAGCAGCAGCAGCAGCAGCAGCAGCAGCAGCAGCAGCAGCCGCTCTTCGCTGGAGCAGAAGGAACTTGCCTGCACCCTGTCTGAGCGAGGAGGCCCCCGAGCACCCCCCGAGACCACTGGAGAGACCAGTCAGACTGGGAGGGAGCTTTGTGAGCGAGCATGTGGCTGCTGCTTGGAGGTACATGCTGCCCCACGGGAATTGCCAAGTAGGGCAGCCGGTGGCAGCAGCAGCACGCTGCTTCAGGGCATGCCACTTTGGACAGGGGGTGGCTCTTTGCGGGAGCCCAAGACAAGGAGAAGTCAGGGCGTGGTCAGCGTTAGGATACAGGGGGTCCCTCATGAAAGGTTGCCCTGTTGCTTCTACGAAGAGCAGCGGGTGGCCAGCAGTGGCCCCATCTGGCCAGACCGTTACACGGAAGACTGTGCAGTGAATGTTCGGTATGTGTGTGCGGAGGACCCCTTGCCAGCCTGCTATCCGGGCCTGCATGAGGCGGGCCAGTGCGTTGCCATCATTCCCGAAGTCCGGGACTCAGAGCTGGCCCTGCCGGTAGATTGCCACAGTGGCAGCAGCCCTTGGGAGGGGCCGTGTGGAACGGCAGCCCCCAGCAAGGCCCAGGGAGCGCCCGCGAAGGCATTTTGCGAGCAAGGAGAGATATGGCAAGAAGGGTCACACCCGCCCATGGCGGGCTTCCCGCTGGAGGAGTCCTGCGGGTTCTTTTCCAGCCCTCCGCAAGGTTGTTTGGAGGCCATGGCCGCTGGAGAAGGCCCTCAAACTTTGGGTAAGTTAGCAGCGCCATCTTGGCTGGAGGCGGGGTGGGTGAGCCAGGGAGGGAAGGGTGGCGCCTTTGTTCGGCCAAGCTGGCCAAATGCCTCCTGAGTACTGCAGGGGGCCAATCCAAGCTCATTTTGGCCACATTCAGGCTCCCTTGAGCCTCAAAGCAGTATCGGCCATAGCGGAGATGACCCCGGAGAGCAGTCGCTCGCTGGACCGGCACAAGATCTGAGCTCTGACCCGAAGGGGCTAGGACAGGGGTGCTTGGACAAGATTCAGGAACAGTTTCATTTTTTCAGGCTGCTGTTCCCCAGGGCGGTATCAGGCTGGGAACTAATAAGAAAAGGACGGTCTTGAGGCAGCTGTGTTTCTGCTGGACATCAAAGCCTTCTATCGCTTGTGTTCACACACGACAGGAGCGGCCCCAAAAAACCGGGGCTACGTGCCCCTGCCTGCGGTACAGGGCATCCTTGGCAGAGCCCAGCATCCTTTCCTGCCGTAGCCTGGGGACAAGAGGCCAAGTTATGCAGCCTGGTGCCCTCCTTCAGTGCCTGCCTTAGAAAAGAAATAAACGGAGTCCGAGGGGGGGAGGCCACCCGCCCCTCCGTGTGAGAATGCAGAGCTCTCCTTAAGCCTGACTGCGATGGGTGGGAATAGGCCCGAGCAGAGGCCTAGTTGCAACAGTGCCTTCCGCCTGCCCCAATGCTGCGGTTGCTGTGGGTTCTGCCCGAGCCCCCACCCCCAACTGCACTCGCCAGTCCACTCGCCAGACTGCTCTGGGTCGAGATCTTCAGCAGAGGTTCCTCCCAGTCACCCCCGGGGTACAAGTTGCCGCTTCCTTCCCCTTCTTAATAGTTTCCTATGGAAACAGTCCTTCTGGCTGCTGCAGCCACAGCCACGTGGTTCCCTACGGCCTCCTGCCCTCTGCGTGGCTGAGACCACGACCGTTGCCACGTTCGGCATCTGGGATGCTGTTCCTGTTCCTCTGTGTGCCTGGCTGGAGAGTTGGGTGGAGGGCTTTTTTGTTTAAAACAGACGGTGCCTGGATTCACCCACCCACCCCTCACCCCTCGGGTGTAATTTGTTAACGAGTCAGGATGAGCAAAGGTACTTACTAAACTTTTCTTTTTCTGCCCAGTTTATGAGAAAGGGGATTTCTTAATTATTAGTTTATTGTACTAGAGTGACATGATGAAATTCCTTCTCATTCTAACAGTGCGTACTTGTGACCATGTTGATATTGTGCGTTTTTGGCAGCCCTGCTCTTGGCGGCTTCTGATTACGCGGAGGCCAGTTAAGAGTAGGTAGCCTCAAGCAGGAAGCCCTCCTGCCCCACCTTTCTTAAGGCTGCTCTTACTACTTCAGAAATCTTTCTTCTCATCGCCAATATGTAAAATATGTTTTACTTTTATTTCTGCTTCCCTTTCTGGTTATTTACTTTTGTGACAGTAGTTTTCATCTCTTCCACTTCTATCGTAAGTGTTTTCCAAAGTATTTCCTAAAGCTTCTGCCCGGTTTAAGTTTTCTCCCAAGTCCTACATAAAATATTGTAGCGGTTGCATTTATGTAGCATTTATGGTTACGGGCATGAAATACCTTCCAGCAGGTGACGCCATCTCTGAGCAGCATCTCCAGAAGTGAGCGCCTAGGCCCGAAACGGCCAGATTCTTAAGATCCACCCAGTTGCCTTGTTACTATATCAAAATCGGCTGCTTCAGTTGAGGTTCTCAGATGTGTTTTCCAATCCCCCTTGGCTGGAGAATGGAGTGTTAACTCACCCGGCGGAGCCCTGCATCTGAATTTGCTCTAAGTTGGTGTTCTCTTGTGCAGTTCCTGCTTAGGTTTGCAACTGGAGCTGGGGGGGGGGGGAGGGATTCCTAGATGCTAACCAGCTTTTTCTGGCACAGCTGGTATTTGTCAATCCTAATGGTCTCCCCCCTCCCCCACTCAGGTTTAGTAGCCAGCCCTTACTACTTTAGTGCCTTCTCCTATCCTTGGTCCTACCACCACACATTTTTTAAGCAGCCCCCTCCCCCCCAAAGGTCAGTGCCTGGTCTTTGTAGATTCCTGGGGGAGAAGCTTTTACACGGTTGCAAGTCATAGCTGGCTTCCTGGATCCAGTGAAGAGCGGCGATGGGCCGGGGAGGCAAAGTCTTCCAATTCCTGTTTCAAGGCTTTGGGGATTGAAGATAGAAATAAGAGCAATTCACCTCCCAAATGTTTCCAATCCCCATTTCTTTCTTCATTTTTCATTTCTGAAAATAAATACATTACCGCAATGCTGCCATTTTGCAGCTTAACGTTGGGGACACAGTTTCGTGGCATCGCAGTCCTCCCGTATACGTATGTGGGCTGCAGTCTCCGAATTGCTGACTAGGATTGGTGCATATTCAGTAAGGATGCTGGCATTTTCTAGTCCTTCCGGCTGACTTACATGTTAATTCTTATCCTATACCCGGTATGGTAGCCTATACCAAGAGCTGTGCTTTTTGGGGGGTTTGTGTGTGTGTGTCTGCATGGTTAATTCTATCCAGACCTAAAGCTATACAGCAACACAGGCCTCGCTGTTGAAGCAGACATGCCGCCTTTCCCCCCCAATCTTCCAAAATCTTTGCACAGATGCAGAGATGACACTCAAAGGAGTACAGAGAACCTCCCTGCCCTTCTGGATGACTGGATGACCAGCCCTAACCTTGCCCTAACCGCCTGGTTGATAAGCATCCCTGAAAGCAAAGTACGCTATTGGCAGAAGTCGGAGCTTCTTCGACACAACGTCCTTCGGCCGATGAAAACCAACTGACCCCCTGCCCACATCCCCAAAATTCTTTGTGTGTTCATTTTCTATCTTTTATAGAAAAAGTAGTTTCCTGCTGCAGGATTGGGCATCCCTTCATGACAAATTTTTATAACGGTCAGTACAATATATGTTTTTATTCTAAAAGGCCTTTTTATCAAAGTAATTATCGCCACTATGATGGGCTTGCGAGGCACTATTTTCAAATGTTTTTTTTTAAGAAAATGAGGTATCCGTAGCACTTAAACTGTTTTGTATAAAATGTACTGTAAAGGTTTGTAAGATGGTTAAAGGGCTCTTCTCCATTACCAGTTGTATTGTTTTTAACGGTAGAAAACAACTTGTTTCTATTCTGTATGTATAGCAGCACATTTCATTTATGGAAAGATGTTCTCAGAATATTTATTTACTAATATATTTATCTTAAGCCATGTCTTATTTGAGTGTGTAATGTTATAAATAAAGAAAAATCGGGAATCACTAACAGAAAGCAATGTAAATACAGATTTCACAATGTTTGCTGACCAAAAAGTGATTTTAAATCAAATCGTAACTGCAGTTTTGTAACGAAATGTACAAATGTCTGTTTAAAAACAAAACCTTTTAAAAAGTTGACTGTCTAGCTTGATGTCTTTTCTGAACACCGGCGGGGAGAAGCCCAACTGCCGCGCTGTCCAGCAAGCGGAGGAGCCCGTATCCCGTCTCGGGGTGGATCCCGTCAGGAGTAAAATCTCAACTCCAAAGTTGTTGGAATACAAAACAATTTTATCGAAGTATTTGCAAAGGCTAGTGGATCTTAATACACACAGATAAGACACCACACCGGTTACAGATCTCGGCATATTTTATACATACCTATCACCGCCGAAGCTATACGCTAGTCTACATTATAAAAAATTACGACTTCTTATAAGGCCTGGAGGAACATTGTCCACGGGGTCACGATGGGTCGGACACGACTTCGCAACCAACAACAACAACATTGTATGTCACAGTGTCGCAGTAGGCAAAACCACATGTCAAACCCCTTTGGTGGGATTCTTCCATCAGCGCTACTGTGGCTCCTCGCAGTCCTTTTGTCATAGCTGCCGTATTCATACCGTTGGTCAATACCGAAGGGGCAAAGGGTGCTCGCTCCGACGCCCTGTGCGTTTACAGTATGGACGCGGGCACCGTGGAGGGACCAAAAGCAACCGCATAGCCGGAAGATTGTTTTGTTTTGAAAAACAAAACGGGGAGGACAGCGTGCTGACAACGGCCTGCCTTTGCTTTCGCCCACAATTCGCGGAGACCGAGAAGCGAAGGGCCAAAGTGCAGAACGGCAGCAAAAGCACCGCTACTCTACGCTCCTCTGAAAGGAACGAGCCGGTTCCGTCGGCCTTCACATGGCCGCCGCCTTCTTCCTTTCCAATCATCTCCAAGAGACATTCCCGACACGACGGACTTCCTGTCTGTTCACCGCGACCCTCCCCCAACGCCTTTGAAAAGGACCTTCCTGCCACGGCCAACTTTCGGTCCATCCTTAGTCATCCGTCCAACTTCCTTGCACAGTGACCTTTTCGGCACGGCGGACTTCCTGTCCGTCACGGTCGCCGACCCCCAGTGCCATCGACAAACGACCGTTCCATCACGGCTGACTTCCTGTCCATCTTTCTTAGTCATCCCCCTACTTCCAAATTCAAACCTTTATTGTCAACACAAAGGATGCGTACAATGAGATCGGATGAGCCTCCCTTAGCGCAGCCCCCCCAAACACAAAATACATCTCAACTCATAAGCGAAAGAAAGAAAAAACCCTAACCAAATAGATCATACTAACAGACACACAATCCTATATACATATATACGCATAACATAACATAACATTATGTTACGTTACAGCACGGAAACGACACCGGTCGCCCTAGTAAATGATCTCTGGCGGGCCAGGGATGGGGGTTGTTCCTCCATCCTGGTCCTTCTTGACCTCTTAGCGGCTTTCGATCCCATCGACCACGGTATCCTGCTGCAGCGGCTCAGGGGGATAGGGATAGGAGGCGCTGTTTTACAGCGGTTCTCCTCCTACCTCTCTGGTCGCTTGCAGGCTGTTTGCGCGGGGGGCCAGGGATCCTCCCAGAGGCCCCTCACTTGTGGGGCGCCTCAGGGATCGGTTCTCTCCCCTCTGCTCTTTAACATCTACATGAAACCGCCGGGTAAGATCATTCGTGGTTTTG